ATGGACCCTAATTCTGCTAGGCAACACTTGCCTTGAGGTTCTTACAGTTCACAAAAACAGTGAGGAGTGAGTGGGCAGTAGCAGAGGAGTTGGTGTGTGTGTGTGTGTGTGTGTGCGTGTGGTGTGTTGGGAGTATCCTGAGCTTCTGTCATTGGCAACAGTGTCAGTGAGATAGAAATGTATCAGGGCAAATCTACCCCAGGGGACCTGGACCGCCTTCTGATACCACTTCTACCCTGGGTCAGCAGGTTCTCCAGAGTCAAACATATGTAGCTTTTATTCAAAGTGACATGAAATTGATATTTGCTGATGCCTTTCTTGTGTCCAAGTATTGCTAATGTTTTATTAAAATAGTTTGAGAGAAATCCTTTCCAACTGTATACTTCAATGAGTGCATTTGAGCTCACCAATATTTCCTGCTAAGCATCACCATGCTACTGTGTGGTGGCAGAGGAGATGTGGCACCTGTCTAAAGACTTAATCTCTCTTCTAGCATAAAAGGAGGAAGAACTTCTATTTTTCTCTTTAAGAAGAGCTACTTTTCTTCCTTTCTGACCTAGTTTAGCACTTTCTCCTAACACAGCAGCTGTGTAATGCTGACACCTTGTGGCCAAGGTCAACATCTGTCATCCCTCTGCCCAGTATTGACCCTGGACCAGGTGTGAGGTCCTCCCTTAGGGTCAATTGCACAGTTCCACCACAGTACCACTAACAAAGCTGAGCAGTGGGCTTGTTATTATTGTTGTTGTTCTGTCATGGGGCTTGAATTCAAAACCTGGGCTCTGTTGCTGAGCTTTTTTTGCTCAAGGCTAGCACTCTACCACTTGAGCCACAGTGCCACTTCTGGTTTTCTGTTGGTTAGTTGGAGAGAAAAGGCACACGGACTTTCCTGCCTGGGCTTTGAACCATGATCTTCATATCTCAGCCTTCTGAATAGCTAGGATTACAGGTATGAGCCACCAGTGCCAGGCTGAGCAGTGTTTTATATATGCGAGCAAGTTTCTCAGAGGCCCTGTATCCTGAGGGCTGAGGCCCAAAGTACCCAGGGAAGATGTCAGATGAACGGTGCAGGGGAGGGGCTGAGACTGTGCAGTGGCTACCAAAGGGTCACCTTCCTCTGTAAAAGGGGCACTCCCCTGGTGCATCATCTATTGGACTCGTTCTCATGGCTCTCTGTTCCCAACCTTGTTGCATCTTCTTTGGTGCCCATCAAAGCCATGGCAACTACTAGTGTGAGGATAAGGAGCTCTTCCTAAAGAAGAATGAAAAATTCTTGGAGGACAAAAGCAACACTTGCCCATTATACAACAACCACAATACAAAGGTCACCAAGGTAAGAAGTAGTGTCCCTAACCCAGGCCTAAGATGCACTAAGAAAATTGTCTTACATAGTTATATTTACGTAGCCCCAGTGCCATTCATTTTTTTGTGCAGATCTATATTTCCATCTGGTATCATTTGCTTTCTGTCTTTAACATATTACACTGTAAGTCTTCTGCAGAGCTTATATTTCTGGCAAACAAAACAAAACAAAACCTTTCACCTTTTCAAAAAGTAATACGCTGTTAGGTCCCGGTGGCCCACGCCTGTCATCCTAGCTACTCAGGAGGCTGACGTCTGAGGACGGAGGTTCGAAGCCAGCCTGAGCAGGAAAGTCCATGACACTCTTATCTCCAATTCACCACCAGAAAACCAGCCTTCAGCACAAAACCTAAGGGACATCACCCAAGTCCTGAGTTCAAGCCCCAGTACTAGTGTGTACATGCACATACACACACACACATACAGCATAATAAACTTTCAGAAAACTTGAGCATATAGTATAGTTCTATGACCTTCCCTTATCTTTTCCCTCATTTGTTTGCATTAATATACATTGTTACAATTGATGTATGATATTGATATATTACATTTCACTAAATCGCAGTTTAGCATACAGTTCCTTCTTGGTGCTGAACATGTACGTGTGTGTGTGTGTGTGTGTGTGTGTGTGTGTGTGTGTGTGTTAGGTATGGAACCTATACAAATGCTCTACCACCGAGCTACACACCTGTTCCTGTGGGGTTTGATAAATGTGTAATAATATAATCATTTCACTGCCCTAAAAATCTTCTGAGTCTACCTGTTTACCCTCCCCATCTTTGGCAATTACTAAACTTTTTACTATTTCTATAGTTTTTATTTTTACATAATGTCATATCCTTGAGATATTACAATCTTCACACTGGGCTCTTTCATTTAGCAAAAGACATTTTAAGTTTCCCCTATGTCTTTTCTTGGCAGAATATCTTACTATTTTTAAAATCACTGATTAATATCCTATTGATTTAATACCACAATTGTTTATCATTCATCTATGTAAATGAAGTATATCCTTGTCACTTCCAGTTTTTGACAATTATGAATTTGTTATAAAGATCTATGTGCCTCGTGTGTGTGTGTGTGTGTGTGTGTGTGTGTGTGTGGTGCACATATGTAAGTGTGTACCCATAGTGGTCATTTGGGTAATTCCTAGCAGCACAAGTGCTAGATAGTATCAGACTATGTTTAGCTCAGCAGGAAACTGCCCAAACTGTCTTTCCAAGTGGAGGTAACACTTTGCATTCCCTCTAACAATGCACAAGGATGCTGTTTGGTCCACATCCTCACCAGCATTTGGTGTTTCCAGAATCTTAGATTTTGGTTTTGTAATAGATGTGTATGGATATAATTCCATAATGACACATGATCCTGAGCATCTATTCATCCACGCTCGTTTTCCATTTGTATATTTCTTTACTGAGCATCAGTTGAGAGCTTTTGTCCATTTCCACCTGTTTGTTTTATTGTTGAATTTTGAGTTCTTAAAGAATCCTTTGTAAGATACATGTTTTGTGACTACTTTCTGTTGGAGGCTTCTCTTTTCATTTTTTCAGTGTCTTTTACAGAGCAGAAGTTTATAATAAAAATCAACTTATTACTATTCTTTTTCTTTCATGGATTGATACATGTAAAGACTCATCACAAAACCCTAGGGTCATCTAGGTTGTCTCCTGTTATGGTCTAAAAGTTTTATGTGGAAAGCGTTAGGACTTTTAAAAATTATTTTATTGGGGCTGGGAAGTTGGCTCTGGTACAGTGCTTGCTTCCCATGCATGAGGCCCTGAGTTCGATTCCTCAGCACCACATGGAGCGGAAAAAAGCTCGAAGTGGTGTTGTGGCTCAAGTGGTAGGGCACTAGCCTTGAGCTGAATTGCTGAGGGACAGCGCCCAGATCCAGAGTTCAGGCCCCACTACCGACAAAAAAAAAAAAAAATTATTTACCTCTTACTTTTTTTTTTTGCCAGTCCTTGGGCGTAAACTCAGGGCCTTTTGTTCAAGGTTAGTGCTCTACCACTGGAGCCACAGCGCCACTTCTGGCTTTTTCTATGATTAATTAGAGATACAAGTCTCATAGGCTGCCTGCCCTGGCTGGCTTTGAACCCTCATCTCTCCTATCTCCTATTTGCAATCCTCAGATCTCAGTCTCCTGGGTAGCTAGGAATATGGGTGTGAGCCATGGCGCCTGGCTTATTATTTAAAAAAACATCTAGTTGTTTCAGTGTCATTCACTTCAAATACCACCTTTTGTCCCTAAATTGTTTCTGCTTATCAAAGCGTTAACTAGATTTGAGTAGGCCTACCAATTCCTGGAGTCAGTGTCTGTCTTCCCATGCGGGTCTCGGGCGTCTCGTTCCGGTCCGATCCCCTGCAGGCGGAGCGGCGCTCTGGCAGAGTGCAAGCTCCCGCCACACAGGCGCAGGAACGGCGGGAGGTGGAGCGTGCGGTCGCACCACCGAGCGAGAACCGTCATGGATGGCTTCTTCCCGCTCAGACGGGAAGAACTAACCCACAGCACTCCGCAGGTGGGTCGGAGTCCAGGCCGGAAAACAGCGCCCAACCGTATTTCGGAGATGGCCGCCCAGCCCACCGCACCCCACCGCACCCGGCGCGCGGCTGGTAGGCCCGGGGCCTCGCGCCGTCGGTCCTTCCGGCCTGACGGGGTCCTCCCCCAACAGCTTGCTCTCTTCGGCCTTGCCCTCCTTCCCGTCACTAGCCTGGGCTGTGCTGTCCTGCAGCAGACACTCGTCAGACACCCGTCCCCTTTAGGTCCCGCGCCCTCAGCGCCCCCAGCCAACAGACCCTTCGCCAGCCGAGACACCGGCACCCTAACCCTTCCCGTCCGGCCCCTGGAGAGCCGGGACCGGCGTGAGCGCTCCGCCAGTGCGCGGAGAGGGGTGGGCCAAAGGGGCGGGCCAACGGGGGGGCCAGGGCTCTGATAGGAGCGGGCCTATGAGAGGGATGAGTACGCAAAAGCGGAGGGCCTACGGGGGGGGGTGCGGGGGGGGGGGTGCGGGGGGGGAGGGCTCTGATAGGAGCGGGCCAAAGGGGCGGGCCAACGGGGGGCAAGGGCTCTGATAGGAGCTGGCCTAAGCGAGGGATCAGTGCGTGTAGAGGCGGGCCTACTGGGGAGGGAGGGCTCTGATAGGGGCGGGCCAAAGGGGCGTGCCTATGGAGGGCGAATGCTCTGACAGGGACGGGCCTATGCGAGGGATCAGTACGCGCTCGGGGCGACCCGAAGGGGCGGGCCTACGGGGGGGGCGAGTGCTGTGATAGGGACGGGCCTATGTGAAGGACAAGTACGCGCTCGGGGCGACCCGAAGGGGCGGGCCTTTGGGGCCGAGCGCTATGACAGGGGCGGGCCTATGCGAGGGATAAGTATTCCTTGGGGCGATCCGAAGGGGCGGGCCTATGGTGGGGACCAGTACACGGATAGAGGCGGAGCCACGTGGGGCAAGTGCGCGGACTGCGACGGGCCCGAGGGAGAAACAAATGAGGGGTGGGGCGGCTTCACTGGGAGGCGAGTGGGGTCAGTTGCCGACCCAAGGTGGCGGCCGGTGCGCGGACGGCGACGGGCCCTGCGGGGAGAAACAAGCGCACGGGTAGCGGCGCCGCTGCCTAGGCCTTTAAGCAGCCCCGCCGGGGCGCACGCGCAGTCCTGCCGTTGGGCGCGCAGGCGCAGAGGCGGTGGCGGATGTTTACCGCGGCGGAGGTCCGAGCGGTGCCGGGGCCGCGGACGCGAGGGACGCGCCCGTAAGGGAGGCGCCCTTGGAGCTGCCGTCGCGGCCCAGGTCGGTGGGCTGGAGCGCGGAGGTAGAGCTGCGCTTGCGGCCGCCCCTCGGCCCCTTCCCTCGGGCAGGCCTGACCCTCCCCGGTCTCGCGAGCGCCGGGGCGCCTTCGCAGGGCGTCCCCGCGGCGTCCGCCTCCCCCGCCGGCCCCCTCCCCCTCCCCCGGCGGCCCCTCCCCCGGCGAGCCCCTCCCCCGGCGAACCCCTCCCCCCGGCGAACCCCTCCCCCTCCCCCGGCGGCCCCCTCCCCCGGCGGCCCCTCCCCCTCCCCCACCGGCCCCCTCCCCCGGCGGCCCCTCCCCCGGCGGCCCCTCCCCCGGCGAACCCCTCTCCCTCCCCCACCGGCCCCCTCCCCCGGCGGCCCCCTCCCCCTCCCCCGGCGGCCCCCTCCCCCGGCGGCCCCTCCCCCGGCGAACCCCTCCCCCCGGCGAACTCCCCCCCTCCCCCGGCGGCCCTCTCCCCCCCCCCCCCCCCCCCCCCCGGCGAATCCCTCCCCCCCCGGCGGCCCCTCCCCCGGCGGCCCCCTCCCCCGGCACCCCTCCCCCGGCGGCCCCTCCCCTGGCGGCCCCCTCCGGCGGCCCCTCCCCCGGCGGCCCCTCCCCCGGTGGCCCCTCCCCCACCGGCCCCCTCCCCCGGCGGCCCCTCCCCCACCGGCCCCCTCCCCCGGCGGCCCCCTCCCCCTCCCCCACCGGCCCCCTCCCCCGGCGGCCCCCTCCCCCTCCCCCGGTGGCACCCTCCCCCGGCGGCCCCCTCCCCCTCCCCCACCGGCCCCCTCCCCCGGCGGCCCCCTCCCCCTCTCCCGGCGGCCCCCTCCCCCGGCGGCCCCCTCCGGCACCCCAGCAGTCAGTGCACTGCTCCAGCCTCTGTCCCCTCCCGAGTTCCCGCCGGAGTCCCCGCCAAGGCCCGGCCCCCTCCCGCGGGCCCCCCCTGCAACCCCTCCCCCCTCTGCCCCCTCTCCCCTCCTCCCGCCGGCCCCCCGCAGCCCCCTCCTCCCCCCGCCCCCTGCAGCCCCCTCCCCCCCGCCCCCTGCAGCCCCCTCCCCCGGCCCCCTGCAGCCCCCTCCCCCCCGCCCCCTGCAGCCCCCTCCCCCGGCCCCCTGCAGCCCCCTCCCCCGGCCCCCTGCAGCCCCCTCCCCCGGCCCCCTGCAGCCCCCGCCCGGCCCCCTGCAGCCCCCTCCCCCGGCCCCCTGCAGCCCCCTCCCCTGGCCCCCTGCAGCCCCCTCCCCGGCCCCCTGCAGCCCCCTCCCCCGGCCCCCTGCAGCCCCCTCCCCGGCCCCCTGCAGCCCCCTCCCCGGCCCCCTGCAGCCCCCTCCCCTGGCCCCCTGCCAGCCCCCCTCCCCGGCTCCCTGCAGCCCCCTCCCCGGCCCCCTGCAGCCCCCTCCCCTGGCCCCCTGCAGCCCCCTCCCCGGCCCCCTGCAGCCCCCTCCCCTGGCCCCCTGCAGCCCCCTCCCCGGCCCCCTGCAGCCCCCTCCCCTGGCCCCCTGCAGCCCCCTCCCCGGCCCCCTGCAGCCCCCTCCCCTGGCCCCCTGCAGCCCCCTCCCCGGCCCCCTGCAGCCCCCTCCCCGGCCCCCTGCAGCCCCCTCCCCGGCCCCCTGCAGCCCCCTCCCCGGCCCCCTGCAGCCCCCTCCCCGGCCCCCTGCAGCCCCCGCCCAGCGCGCACTCCGGGACCCTCCTCTCCGCACTGCAGTGTCTCTGTGCGGACCTTGGCCGTGGCGCTGGGCCGGGTGGCCCTTTCTGCCCTTTGGTCTCTGTCTGTCTGTCTCTCTGTCTCTGTCTCTCTCTCTCTCCCTCTCCCTCATCGTTCACATCATTCCGCCCCCAGGACGCTGCGTTTAGGTCTCTTTTCCCAGTTCATTCTCTGCACTACATTCCGTGTAAGTTGTGACATAGGGCTGGATAGTCACCCCCTAATGCAGTCTGCCAACCAGAACAGACCAGAGTTGGGCCCCTCATTCCCAACACTTGGCTTGGTGTTTGTTTACACAACCACAGTTAAGCCCTTGTGTTCATGGTGATACTGCTGCCCCGTGGCTCAGTACCTCTCTTGTGTTCATGGTGATACTGCTGCCCCGTGGCTCAGTACCTCTTCTTGTGTTCATGGTGATACTGCTGCCCCGTGGCTCAGTACCTCTCTTGTGTTCATGGTGATACTGCTGCCCCGTGGCTCAGTACCTCTCTTGTGTTCATGGTGATACTGCCTGCCGCCCCGTGGCTCAGTACCTCTTCTTGTGTTCATGGTGATACTGCTGCCCCGTGGCTCAGTACTTCTTCTTTTTTTGTTTTTGGGTCCGGTCCTGGGGCCGGAACTCTGGGCCTGGGCGCTGTCCTTCAGCTCTTCAGCTCAAGGCTAGTGCTCTACCACTTGAGCCACAGCGCCACTTCCGGCTTCTTTTTTTGCTTATGTGGTGCTGAGGAATCGAACCCAGGGCCTCTGGCATGCAAGGCATGCGCTCTACCACTGAGCCACCTTCCCAGCCCCTCAGTACCTCTTCTTATGTTCCTGGTGATACTGCCCGCCCCGTGGCTCAGTACCTCTTCTTGTGTTTATGGTGATACTGCCACCGCTGTGGCTCAGTACCTCTTTTTTCAGTGTCTTGCAGTGGCTACTCTTGGGTAGGAACTCTGTTTAGCATTACAGACAGTAGTCAAGAGCAGCATGTAATCAGGGGCCACACCTGCAGGGTGCTACTTACTTCACTGTTGCTTTGAGAAATTGGATTTAACTGGATTGCAGAGTCTGGGCCAGTGAGAGGATGTGGATTGGCGAGGCTAGGGGTTCTGGGTGTTTTGGATAGCATGATCTCACATGTCATCAGTAAGCAGTGATTTTTTTTTTTTATGACCTGGTGTTAGATTGGCAGCTAATAGTGTGTATCATACCCTACATGTTTACACCCTAACAGTGGCAACAGGGTACTCTGATTGCCAAAAGATTAACAATATGTTACATATAAAGAATATTGAGCCGGGCGCCAGTAGCTCACGCTTGTCATCCTAGCTACTCAGGAGATCTGAGGATCACGGTTCAAAGCCAAGGCCATGAAACTCTTATCTCCAATAAACCATTCAGAAAACCTGAAGTGGCACTGTGGCTCAAGTGGTAGAGCCCTAGTCTTGAGCTGAAGAGCTGAGGGACAGCGCCCAGGCCCAGAGGTCAAGACCCACGACTGACAAAAAGAAAAAAGAAAAAAAAGTCCATGAAACTCTTTATCTCCAGCAAACCACCACAAAGCTGGAAGTGGAACTGTGGCTCAAGTGGTAGAGTGCTAGTCTTGAGTACAACAGCTCAGGGACAGCACCTAGGTCCTGAGTTTAAGATCCAGGACTGGCGTGTGCTTGTACACACACACACACACACACACACACACACACACACACACACACACACATTGATCCCTTGAGAATTTTTTTTTTTTAAGCTACGTCAATGTGTATAAGACACAGGCCTTTGACATAAGTTTGGGGTTTTTGAGTCCAGCCATTCTTCACACTGACTATGTGATCCTGAGCGAATTAACTTTCTGGCACTAATTTGTTGCCCATTGTGAAGTTTGAGTGAGGTCTTGGCTGGCACTTGTAACTATTTTTACTAAAATGCTGTCCTTTTGATCTGGGAGATGCTTTCAAAGTGAGGAAAAATGGAAATAAATGGTAGATATTAGTAGAAAATGAAATATACCCAATGAGCTTCCTTCTATAGATTTTTAAATTTAGGAATTGAGGTAGCATGACAAGACTCTATCCAGGCTTCTGGAGTAATAGGTGTCCCTCTTGATCTGAACCCAGGAGGATATACGATTGTAAGTTCTTTTCCTAAAATAGATCATTAAACATCCAAACACATGACTCCACTTTCAACCCGTGACCCAAGTCTTAAGTTGACTGTGCTAGGCTAGCAGTATAGCCCCTGAACTAAGTGGCTTGCCCAAGATTAAACCTAACCTCATTAGCACTTAATTCCATCCCTTGAAGGGCCAGAGCTGGTTCTGTCATCTAACAAGGGCTTTAGAACAGCTTAAAAAGAAGATAAAACTGTAATAATTGAACCATGATTTAAAAATTCTAATTCTAAATCTTCACATGTTGATCATGAGAATTGAGATTCTACCATAAAGTGAGAGGTAATTTGTGTCAAGACATCCCTGCACACCTTTAGTTTCCTGTTTCTATAAAGCAGAAGACACACAGGTGGTGGTTTGTTCCCTTCCCTAGGCTGCTTCCACCACTGTGGCCAGTTGTGCACTGGCATCTCTCCCCTAGTGTTTCCTCATTATCCTTACTCTGCAGCTAGAGAGTCAAAGGACTGTGAAGGAGAGAGAGAAGGAGAGAGAGCCTAGTGTAACTGTAACAATAGCATTGTAATACATTGTCAGGAGGCTATCTTAATTGATGAAGTGTGCTAGTCTTCATGTAGACTAAGTGATCTTTCCTCCAGCAGTTTACATCATCATCATCATCATCATCATCATCATCTTGTGTGAAGTAAAGCCATTATTTTGGAAAAGTTATTGGAGTTAGTATTACATTAAGAAGGATGTTTTTTATAGTTTCAGTGTAAGAACTCTCCAGGCAAAAGAGCATTTCCCTGTGCACTAGATAAAGCCAAATTGGGTTGTAGTAGTGGGGTTGCATGTTTCCTCCTTAAAGGCAGTTTGGAAGAAGGAAAGAAATGTACTTGAAAAGGCTGGATAGCTCCTTCTGCTAAACTGTAGTCTTAAAGCTGATGTAATGTTTGTTGCAATAAGATTTTGTCACAATGTGGTCTATTTGTTAATTTTTTTGTTGATGTTGTTTTTGCCTAATAATTGAATATCAAAGTACCCAAATCAAGAATTGGATGGCTTGCTGAACTTGGGTAAGAATTTATGTATGTGTTTGGTGTAGAGTTCCAATTAAATTTAGGACACCAGTTAAATTTGAATTACAGATAAGCACCAAATAAAGTCTAGTACTTGTCTTGAATTTCGAACTGGACATTTTTTTATTTAATTAGTTTCTTGTTCCTGGGGCTTGAACTTTGGACTTACATACTGTCCCTGAGCTTCTTTTGTTCATGGTTAGTGCTCAACCACTTGAGCCACAGTGCCATTTCTGGCTTTTTGGGTAATTAATTGTAGATAAGAGTCTCATGGACTTTCTTGTGTGGCCGGCTTCGAACCATGATCCTCAGATCTCAGCTTCCTGAGTAGCTAGGATTACAGGCATGAACCACCCGTGCCCGGCCGAACTGATACTTGGTTCTTCTAAAATTTGCAGCTTCTGTATTATTTTTAGAGTTCAGAACTTAACATTGGTGTATATTTTGGGGTTTTATTATTATTCTCTTACTCATAACTAAACTAGTTCTTTAAATTTTAATTATAGTGTTGCCTGAGTGTAATCTTGAACATGGGCGGTGCTGTGAGTGCGGGTGAGGACAATGATGAACTGATTGATAACTTGAAAGAAGCGCAGTATATCCGGACCGACCTGGTGGAGCAGGCCTTCCGTGCGATTGACCGTGCAGATTATTATCTGGAAGAGTTTAAGGAAAATGCATACAAGGATTTGGCGTGGAAACATGGAAACATTCATCTCTCGGCTCCATGCATCTACTCGGAGGTGATGGAGGCTCTTGATCTGCAGCCTGGGCTCTCATTTCTGAACCTGGGCAGTGGCACTGGCTACCTCAGCTCTATGGTGGGTCTAATTTTAGGTGAGTGTGAAAGGAGAATCTGAAGGTCAGTGCATGAAATGTCTTCTTGGACAGAAACTACAGTTTGCTGGTTGCATACTCTAGAAGAGACCATGACCTCCTACAATTTGCTTGAAGCAAAGTCACTGGTTTGTGGGTGGCTGGATTACGTATACTTGTGGGCCCTGACTTCCAGATAGTGGGTGCCTCCCCTGTTTCCTGCCTCCTCTAGTCTAGCTCCACTACAGTCTGTTATAGCTGAATGGGACCAGCAGAGATGTGTAAATCTTGACCTCATGTAATTTCTCTTTTTAATCTAAGCAACATCGTCCCTTCATTCTTTCTCTCCACTGAAGGTTATTAAAGTCCTTTGGTAGTTGATTTCTTCCAAGCAGTTTCTGTTTTTTGTTTAATACTAAAAGAGTGATATAGGCTGGGCGTAGGTGGCTCACACCTGTAATCCTAGCTACTCGGAGGCTGAGATCTGAGGATCGCAGTTCAAAGCCAGTCCGGGCAGGAAAGACCGTGAGACTCCTGCTGTAGCTCAAGTGGTAGAGTGCTCGCCTTGAGCTGAAGTGCTGAGGGACAGCGCCCAGGCCCAGAGTTCATGGCTAGTGAAGCCCCACGACTAACCAAAAAAAAAAAAAGAGTGACACGTGTAAGTTTATGTATTTTCAAATAAATTTCAGGGATGGAAAGGAATCATGTAAGCTATTTTTCACAACAAAGAAATGGTAAGAATGGATGTAACAACAGCAATATCAGAGAAATGAGGGTTTATTGATTTTCAGCTTTGTGTTAAGTGGGAGAGTGAAATCTGCTTTTGCTCTTAGTGAGGTGTGAAAGGGACTTGCAGAGGAGTGAACACATCTGTGGTGTTAGAGCAGCCCTTTGGAGGAGGAGTCAGGCGGGCTGGGTGGGTTTGAATCAGCTTGTGTGACTTTAGTATCTTTTGGCATTGGAATTTGTAACATTACTGATGGATTGGATCTGGTTGTGCAGAAATATAAAAAATTGTCTAAGATGCAGGGCTACTTAGGAGGATGAGATCTGAGGATTGCAATTTGAAGCCATACTGAGCAGGGAAGCCCATGAGACTCTTATCTCCAATTAGCCACCAAAAAAAAAAAAAAAGCCAAAAGTGGAGCTGTGGCTCAAGTGGTAGAGTGCCATACTTGAGCAAAAGAGCTGAGGGACAGCGCCCAGAAGCAGCATGTGCACATACACACATGAGCACATTTTCAGGCGCACTCACCACCCCCAAACAGCCAAAGGGTGTTGTGTGCCAGGGTACACAGGATTTCCAGCTACTCAGAGGCTGAGGTGGGAGAACCCTTTGAGCCCAAGAGTTTGAGAGCAGCCCAACCTGGGCCTGTCTCAAAAAAAAAAGCCAGGTGTGGTTGGCTCACGCCTGTAATACTAGCTACCCACTAGTTTGAGATCTATGGATTGTGGTTTGAAGCCAGCATGGGCAGAAAAGTTTGAGAGATTCCATCTTTAGAAAAAAGCCATATAGGAGGTGAGTCTCAAGTGGTACAGCTTTAGCTGTGAGTAAAAAAGCCAGGGAGAGACCAAAGCCCCAAGTTTAAGCCCTGGTATAAGCACAACACAACACAATGAAGCAAAACAGTAATATTAACAAGAATGTTCATGGTGAGTTTAAGCATTTTCAGTATGAAATTCTGAGTATTGAGTTTTCTTTTTTATGGTTTATGTGTTGTATGCAGAATTCATTGGTGTGTATATCATCATCTTCTTGTTTTGTAGTTATTATGATGACTTCAGAAAATCCTAACAGTCACATTGATTTTTGTTGATATAAAAAGGAAGATTTTGGTTTCAATTGAGTTTTGTGTCCTTCAAAGTTTGATTAATTTTTGAGACTCATTACTTAACTCTAGGCTTTAAAATTTTAATTTGTATGCTTTTCTTTCTAAGAAAAGGTATGTTTTTTAAGTTAGTTTGTCTTTGATTTAGACTGTCATGGTTGCCATGCTTTGACAAGTGTCTAGATAGTAGTGCGTTTCTGTTGATTGTACTTGAAGAGTTGGAAGAGGCTTAGTGATAGGGCATTTGTGTGTGTGGAGGGGGAGGAATAGATAACAAAACTGACTAGGTTAGGAATTCTGATGCCTGGGAGAAGTTGGAGTGTCCTGTTGCGCTTGGCGTGAGTGGTGATGGAGAAAGGGCTTATGATTACTGCCGCTGCTTTGCCTTTCTGAACCTTCTGCTTACTGGGAATTGTGTTCGCTGTAGGAGAGGAGAAATGTACAAGAAGAAAGCCCTGTCATGTCTGTGGTGTATTTGGAGGAAGACACTTTGGGATGTGCTCCCTCGCATGAGTGTCTTGGTGGGACTGTGGTCTGTTTCTAGATGCTACAGTTTATTCCACCTTATTGCCAACTTAAAAACATCACTACAGAATGAAAACTTCATTGGCCTTTTAGGGCCTATACAAGTGAGATTGAAAGTTTCTACTAACACAGAGATATCCTCTGAGCCTGCCTTTATCAAGTCTCTGCTTTATCTCATGTTAGCTCTATCTCTGTGTTTTCTTTGGGATTCTTTCCTTTTTCCTAGGCTCTCTTCCTTTGGTCTTATGAGTGATGGCCAGGGAGTGGAGATTCATGCCTAAAAGAGAGGTGGGAGGGGGCCTTGAGGTCTGGCTTCAGTGCACCTTGTTGCTGTGCCTCAATACAGCTCCAAATAGGGACCATGTTTTATACTTGTCATTAGAAGTAACTAGTTAGTGACTTTTTTTCCCTTGTCAGTCTGGGGCTTGAACTCTGGGCCTGGGCACTGCCCCTCAGGTCTTCAGCTCAAGGCAAGTACTTTACCACTTGAGCCACAACGCCACTTCCAATTTTCTGCTGATTAATTAGAGATAAGAGTCTCACAGACTTTCCTGCCTGGCTGGCTTTGAACCGTGATCCTGAGTAGCTAGGGTTACAGACGTGAGACACCGGCAGCAGGCTGGTTTTTTTTTTTTTTTTTTTTAGTATTGTTATTTCTCAGTTGATGTTTGACAGTGAAGTGAGGTGTTAATGAAAATAAGAGGGGCAGGGCTCAGGAGAATGAGAACCATGGGCTGTTTTAAACCAGAGTAATGAGGATTTAAGTAAGCAAGTTGGTAGCAGGTCTTGGAAGTTCAGAATAACTTTGGACTTGGTGTTATAACTAGTGAGTATAGGATTTCTCAGGGAGGCTTTGTCTCGATGACATTTTAACAGTAGTACTGTTGCAAATATGTGTTTCTTTTTTATCAGTAACACCCCAAACTCTTGGCTTTTTTTTTTCTTTTCCATAAAATGATACTTTACACATTTAATAGCATAGATATCCAGGCATCCAAACGAGTATTGTATTTTGAGCAGTGGTTATTATGTGTATTGAAAATGTTCTCTTCAGTAGTTTAGATATGCTAAGATTTCATAGCCCTCTGAGTTTCTGCCAAGTCAGTTGTGCAGTTAAAGAAGCAGTAAAACAAAACGAGCAAGAGTTCTAAAAGCTTTGTTATTCTCAAAACTTTCAGGTCCTTTTGGTGTGAACCATGGGGTGGAGCTTCATTCAGATGTGATAGAGTATGCAAAGCAGAAACTGGACTTCTTCATCAGAACAAGTGACAGCTTTGACAAGTACGATCAGATGCTGGCCATTAAGTCAGAGATGTAAATTATAATTTATTACAAACTTGAGCAAATATAAGGACATCGGCTAATTAGTGTTCATATGCCTAGTTAACTTGGTTGAACTGTGGTCAATGATCATTGGTTATCTGTGTGCTTATGCTGATTGCTATTTTAATATTCTGTGATTTTAAAGTGTTGCCATTTTAAAATAAGGGGGTTCAAAATTTTAGAACAACAAAATGGGGTCTTTCTTCCTCTCACTTGTTGGAAAACATCTTGAGTATGAGTGCTATAAAAACAGTAAAGAACAGCTAGAGACTACTTTAACTTCGGATCGTGCGTATAGCACTCATTCCCATTCTGCTAGGAATTTCTAGGGTTCTCTTTATGTAATATACAAGTGTGGATTTAGCTCCTATCTCTGGAAACTATTAGGTTGTTCTGGGATTTTGAAAATTTGCTGGATGGACTTGTTGCAACAATGCATTTAGTTAGAGATTTTTTTTTTTTTCCTTTCAGGTTTGACTTCTGTGAACCTTCCTTTGTTACTGGCAATTGCCTGGAAATTTCTCCAGATTGTTGTCAGTATGATCGTGTGTATTGTGGGGCTGGTGTGCAGAAAGAACATGAAGAGTACATGAAGAATCTTCTCAAAGTTGGAGGGATCCTTGTCATGCCCTTGGAGGAGAAGGTAAGATTCTCTTCGTAACTGACAGGTCTTACTTTCTACCATGGTGTGTTCCAGGCAGTTTGCGTGTATTTATGCTTGTGACACCCACACCCACGTGATGTATTACAAGAAGGAGACGGGGAGTAGGAGTGGAGTGTGCCTGGGTTACACAGACTCTAGGTGAAGAGAGAACCTGGCTCAAGTGTTATGTTCCCTCACCTTTATTCTAACTCCTGTTCTCTTCTTCCTTCTCTTTTTTTCCCTGCCATTCTTTTTCCCTTCATCCTTTTCTTTACTCAGCTATTCTACTTTTTGAGACAGGGTCTCAATATGTAGCCCAGGGTTGTCTAGAACTTGCTATGTAGTCCAGGCTATCTATAAATCCATGGTCCTCTTGTCCCAGGTTTTGCAGTGCTGAAATTACAGGCATGTGCTACCACACCTGGCTTATCAGAATTGTTGTATATGAATAAATCAGAAATATGTATATATATATTCAGAATTCTATCCATTCCCTCAAATTACCTGATACCATTTTCACATAGGTACATTGAATATTATGACTGTATTCACCCACCCATACTCTCTAATTTGTCTCTCCCCCTCCCCTGACAAAACATGTCTCAGCTTCTTGCTACTCATTTTGCTAAACTGTAAGTTTGGTGTTCAGTGTTACACCATCGGAATCCTCCCCTACGTGTACCATACTTTACTTGATTTGTGTGTGTGTGTGTGTGTGTGTGTGTGTGTATGTATGACCCTGTGTATGTGCTCATATATGTTTATAATTTAGATCTAGATTCCACATATGAGAGAAAATGTGCTTGCTTTGTCTCTCTGACCTTACTTCTTAACATGATTTCCAAATGAGTAAAAATGAGTAAATGAATAAAAACACATTGTGTGTGTCCATATATGTATATGTGTGTGTGTGTGTGTGTGTGTGTGTGTGTGTGTGTGTGTACATATATCTCTCATTTTTTTGAACTATTCATCCATGGTAGGGCATCGGGGCTGCTTCTATAGCTTGGATATCATGAATAGTACAGCACTGTACATGATTGTGTCTTTACAGTATCCTGACTTGTAATATTCTGAATAGATATCCAAGAATGGTATTGCTGGATCATAGGGTAGTTCTGTTCTTTTTTTTTCTTTCTTTCTTGAGTAATCTCAAAAAGACTGCTTTCCAAAGTGGTTGCATTAGTTTACATTGCCACCAATAGTGTAATAGGGTTCCTTTCTCTCCATTTCCCCACCAGCATTTGTTTTTCTTATTCCTTTTTTTTTTTTTTTTTAAAATAGGGCTTAAATTCAGTGTCCCTGAGCTTTTGCTTCTGTGCTAAAGGCTAGCACTTAACCACTTTGAGCCACAGCTCTACTTCCAGTTTTCTGGTGGTTAATTGGAGATAAGAGTCTCACAAACTTTCGTGCCTGGGCTGGCTTCCAACTGTGATCCTCAGGTCTCAGTTTCCTGAGTAGCTAAAATTACAGGTGTGAGCCACTAGTGCCTGGCTGCTGTTTGTATTCTTGATGGTGGCCAATCTTATTGGGGTGAGATGAAATCTTAATGTTGTTTTGATTTGCAGTTCCTTTTTTTTTTTTGGGTCTGTTGTGGGGCTTGAACTCTGGGCCTGGGCGCTGCCCCTCAGGTCTTTAGCTAGAGGTGAGTGCACTACTCCTTGAGCCACAGCGCCACTTCTGTTTTTTTTCTGGTGGTTAATTGGAGATAAGAGTCTCACAGACTTTCCTGCCTGGGCTGGCTTTGAACTGTGATCCTCAGATCTCAGCCTACTGAGTAGCTAGGATTATAGGCGTGAGCCACCGGTACCCAGCTTGCAATTCCTTTTTTTGCCATTACTGGGGCTTGAACTCTGGGCCTAGGCACTGTTCCTCAGCTCATTTTGCTCAAAGCTTAGTACTCTACCACTTTAGCTGAAGCTCCACTTCTAACTTTTTCTGTGATTAATTGGAGATTAGTTTCACAGGCTTCCTTCTGAGCTGTTTTTGAACCATGATCCCCAGATCTCAGCCTCCTGAGTAGATAGGATTACAAGCTTGAGCCACCATTGCCTGCCTTGATTTGCATTTCCTTTATGGCTGGAGATGTTGAGTGTTTTTCATGTGTTTATTGGCCATTTTTACTTCTTTGAATAAGTCTCTCTTTAGCTCTTTTGTCCATTTTTAATTGATTTATTGATTCTTTAGGGTTTAGTTTCTTTAGGCCCTTATCAGATGTATAGCTGGCAAAAATCTCTCATTCTATAGGGTGTCATTTTAGCTTATTAACTAAGTCATTTGTTGTGCAGAAACTTTTTAGCTTAATAGAATCCTACTTGTCAATTCTCTTTCCTATTAGCTGGGCCCTGGGATTCTATTCGGAAATTCTTGCCTATACCAAGAAGTTTTAATATTTCTCCTTCCTGTAGTAGTTCCAAGTTTCAAGTCTTATATTGATGTCTTTGATTCACTTTGAATTGGTATTTAGTAAAAGCTGACAGGGATCCATTTTCAGTCTGCTGCATATGGTTATCAAATTTTCCCACCATCATTTGTTGAAGAGGCTGTCTTCTTTTCAACATATATTTTTGGCTCCCTTGTCAATATCAGATAGATCTAAGCGTATAGGTTTATTTCTAGATCTTCTAGTCCATTCCATTGGTCTTTAAGTCTGTTTTTATGTCGGTACCAAGTTGTTTTTGTTACTGTAGTTCTGTAATAAAGTTTGAGGTCTGGAATTGTGATACCTCCAGAATTGCTTGTTGTTCACACAGGATTGCTTTGGCTATTCAAGGCCTTTTGTGATTATAGATAAAGTTTTGCATTGTTTTCTCTATCTTTGTGAAGAATGGCATTGGGATTTTGATGGGTAATGCATTGATTTTGTAGATTGCCTTTGGCAGGATGGCCATTTTCATGATATTATTTCTGCTAATCCACAAACATGGAAGGTCTTTCTACTTCCTGGTGTCTTCTTTGATTTCTTTCTTCAAAGTTTTATAGTTTTTCATGTAGAGGTCCATTCACTTCTTTGGTTAGGTTTATTCCTCCGTATGTTTCTTGAGGCTTTTACAAATGGAATTGTTTTCCTGATTTCTCTCTATATTTTTTCATTGTAGGTATACAGAAAAGTATTTTTTTTTATTGATTTTATATCCTGTTGATTTACCAAATTCATTGTTTAGCTCTGTGAGCTTAGGGGTGGACTCTCTGGGGTCCTTTGGATACAAGATCATATCATCTTGAAATAGGGATACTTTAACTTCTTCCCTATTTGGATCACTCTTACCACCTCCACCTCCTCCTCCTCCTCCTCCTCCTCCTCCTCCTCCTCCTCCTCCTCCTCCTCCTCCTCCTCCCCCCTTCTTATTCCTCCTCCCCCTTCTTTCTCCTCCTCCTCCTCCTCCCCCCTCCTCCTCCTCCTCCTCCTCTTCCTTCTCCTCCTCCTCCTCCTCCTTCTTCTTCCTTTTCCTTCTTTCTTCTTTCTTCTTTTTTTGTTGGTCATGGGGCTTGAACTCTGGGCCTGAGCGCAGTTCCTGTGCTCTTCAGCTCAAGGTGAGTGTTCTACCACTTGAGCTACAGCGCCACTTCCGGTTTTCTGGTGGCTTATTGGAGATAAGAGTTTCACAGACTTTACTGCCGGGGCTGGCTTTGAACCGCGATCCTCAGATCTCACCCTCCTGAGTAGGATGACAGGCGTGAGCCACCAGGCGTCCAGCACGTCTTCTTCTTACCTTATTGCTCTGGCTAGGAATTCCAGTGCTGTATTGAAATGGAGTGGAGAGAAATAGACATCCTTGTTCTTGATTTTGGAGGAAATTATTGTAGTCCTTAACCATTTACTATGGTGTTGGCTGTAGATTTTCATAAATAGCATTTCCTTTTTTTTTTTTTTTTGGGTCCAGTTATGGGCCTGAACTCTGGGACTGGACGCTGTCCCTCAGCTCTTCAGCTCAAGGCTAGCACTCTACCACTTGAGCCACAGTACCACTTCTGGCTTTTTTCTTTTTGCTTATGTGGTGCTGAGGAATTGAACCCAGGGCCTCATGCATGCAAGGCAAGCGCTCTACCACTGAGCCACCTTCCTAGCCCTATAAATAGCATTTCTTATGTTGAGGTATGTTTCTTTTGTTCCTAGCTTCTCTAGGGCTTTTATTATAAAAGGATATTAATTTTGCCAAGGGCTTTTTCTGCATCTATTGAGATGATTATTTCATTACTGTCTTTGGTTCTGTTAATGTACTGTACTATGCTTACTGCTTTATCTGTATTGAACCATCCTTAGGATGAAAATAATTTGATGATTTTTTTTTGACTACTTGTTGAATTCAGTTATCAAGTAGGTGACTGTTTTTATTTGCTTTTGGTTTATCATTATTTAAAACTATATAGCAGAGCCAGATGCCGGTGGCTCACACCCATAATTCTAGCTACTCAGGAGGCTGAGATCTGAGATCCTGCCAACCTGGGCAGGAAAGTCCATGAGACTCTAATCTCAAATAAACTACCAGAAAACTAGAAGTGATGCTATGGCTTAAGTGGTAGAGCACTTGCCTTCAGCTGAAGAGCTGAGGGACAGTGCCTAGGCCCAGAGTTCAAGCCCCACGACCAAAAATAAATAAATAAATATAAAAGAAAATATACCTCTTTATATGACATAAATGTTTATAGTTTTCTTATAGATCTTGTATTTTTTGGTTTTCTAATACTGGATATTTAGTATGTTTATAAAAAAAATTCCCCCATGTTGCCCCCCCTCACCAATTTTTCCCCCCTGGAATTGGGGCTTGAATTGAGAGCCTTGTGTTCTTGGGTCTTCTGGTCTTTTGCTGTTTAGTTGTTGGTGAATAAAAACAGGTTTTAATGATGGGTGATTTATCTCCTTATAGTCTTTTTTATTACCTTTTTTTACTGTAATAAATAGCCCTCTCAGGGAGAGCCTTTTGTGTGTCATTTTTGTCAATATTCTTGTATCTTTTTTTTGGTCAGTCATGGGGCCTGAGTGTTGTCCCTCAGCTCTTCAGCTCAAGGTGAGCGCTCTACCACTTGAGCCACAGTACTACTTCCAGTGTTCTGGTAGTTTATTGGAGATAAGAGTTTCACAGATTTTCCTGCCCAGGCTGGCTTTGAACCATGATCTTCAGATCTCAGCCTCCTGAGTAGCTAGAATTACAGGTGTGAGCCACTGTCACCTGGCTATTCTTGTATCTTATTCTCTGTATTCATTATCTCCAAGTATAACCACCATGTAAGAGCAGAAGTGCGTTGTCAAAGGCTACACATTTTAAAACCACACTTTCAAAGGTAATACCATCATTAGCAGAATAAAAAGGAGCTGGTACAAGTGTTTCTGACTGCTGTATGACCCCTGCTATTTGCCTGGACTGTAGAGTGTGATGGCACTGAGCAGTCCCATTTTTGGTTTTCATTCTCAGATCATTATTTTGAGTTTGTTTTTACTTAAACAAATGGTACTAGAAATCTTTGTATTCTATATTGAATTAGACTTTTGATAGCAATCATTTCTTCTCTAGATTAATTGAGGATTATGAACATTCTTACAATATTTCATAGGCTTCTCTAGAATATAAAGTAAGTTTATAGTTTCATTTTAGGTCTCACATGTCATTAAATGATTATATTTGGTCTTCATTACAATTCTTTGTTGATATGCAGTAATGTGTGTAGACTTGTTTATATTTACCTAGAATATGGGTATGTAAGCCTTTTAAAGAATCAGTTTCAGAGGATTTTCTGGATTGGGTATTTTTAGAAAAGACCTAGTATATAATCTTAGCAGTGCTATGACCTAATTACACTGGAGACTGGCTTAGTCAAACCAAAAACATGGAGGCTATGTTGTCTAATTGGATTCTTCAGTGCTAATACTGTAGTAAAAAATACTGACTAGGCACTGGTGGCTCATGCCTATAATCCTAGGTACTCAGGAGGCTAAGAGCCAAGGATTGTGGTTGAAAGCCAGCCTGAGTAGGAAAGTTCGTGAAACTCTTTATTTCCAGTTAACCACCAAAAAAAACAAAAGTGGAGCTGTGGCTGAAGTGGTAGAGTGCTAGCCTTGAGCAAAAAAGCTCAGGGACAGCACACAGGCCTTGAGTTCAAACCTAAGGATTGGAGTGTACGTGCATATGCGCGCATACACACACACACACACACGCACGCACGCACGCATGCACGCACACACACACACGCACACGCGCGTGCACACACGTACACAAGTTCTTTTTGATGACTTCCATTGTTGTGCGTTAGCCAAAAAATCGCCTGGTGCTCCTCAGGTATACTCTTCCTGGGAGAGTTAGGACAGTGGTTTGCAGTCAAGAAAGTCTCAGTAGAACTGAAGCAGTGTTCAGGCTTCTCCCACAGTCCCATTGGTTGCATGGATGTCTGTGTAGTGTTCCCAGAAGCAGTGCACATGTTGGCAGATTCTGTATGTTTAGAGTATTGTTTATCTAAGCCCTTCCTCACATTTACCCGCAACTACTCGCTTATTTTGAAAACCAAAAAACTGCTGTGATAGGAATTTGTACTTTCTTGATTTGCTTGCTACTTCTTGTAGTCCTTTAACTGGTTTATCATATGTATTTCTTGTAAATAGAAAAAAAATGGTAGGTCTAGAAGTTTGAATATCTTCAGGCTAGGCATTTTTGCAGAACTGTTTGTAAGTCAGCTGTACTTCATGCCCCTCACGTTTGGGGGCCATATTGTCAGACTATTTCATTTTATTGTATTTGTACATTTTTCTATTTTATATAGGGATTATTGTACTATTTTCATTTTTTTCTGTGTGATAGTTGACCAAGATAACACGCATAGGTCCTTCTGCTTGGGAAACCAAGAAGATTCTGGCAGTCTCCTTTGCCCCTCTGGTCCAGCCTTGCCACTCTGAGTCGGGAAAGTCTAGACTTGTCCAACTACGTGAGTACATGTACCACACTTGCCTTTTAGACCTTTTAATCTCACTAAAGTTAGAAAGAAATGAAATTACAAGATACATTTTGATATTAAAGAATGCTTACACTCCATTAAAACCTTAAAATTGTACAAGGGATTTGTAAACATTTAAAAATTATCTCTTTTTAGACCATCTTAAGTTATTTTAGTCATCTTTTAGGTCTAGAAAGAGCTGTTACTATTCACACCTTCAAGAATAGTAGATTCACCAAAAAAGGCCTAGTGCTCCTGTGTGAGAGACTCTGCTAGGAGAATGTGATGGCACCGGGGTCCGCTTTGCTCTCAAACACCTGTCTCTCGCTGCTGCTCAGGGAGAGTAAGGGTTGAGACCCTGCTTTCTTTATCTGCTGTGTGTAGATGGGAGACGGTGCTGCCTCCCTGTCTGTGCCCTGTTGTTTATTCCCTCAAGGCAGCATCCATCTTAATGTTTTATCATCTGAACCATTTACATGGAAATGAGAATTCTGTTGATTCAAAATACAAATACCCTGCATGCACTCTTGATTATTTGTGAAAGTTTGGAAAAAATAAAAACTACCATACATGGTTCCAGCACCCAAAGATAATACATTTTGTTGAATTCCTTTGAAGTTTCTTAATTTGCAAGGAATCATTTATCAAATAGAAACACTTTCCTCAGTATAAGTCATGTGAACTTGGACGGCAGGCAGCATTGGAGCATGCAGACAGTCTTGGAAGGACCCTGAAAAGTTGGTTAGCTGGAGGATGATGTTTGTTTTCATTTATCAGTGTGAAAAGTAATTCCCTAAAAAGAGAATAGGGATGTGGAGAAAAAGTGTGAGCAGAAGCAGGGCATGCTCAAGGGTACAGAGTCCCCCACTGTGGTCAGAATTAGGGTTTGTGGGCAAAACTAGATGGGAATGTAGGTTCCAATTTGTCACTGGGCTATGAGAGCTACAGATGTTTTAAAAGAAGACTCAGTACACCTGTACTCTGTATTATCTTAGAGGTCAGTCAGAGAGCTCTGAAAATAGCACAAAGAAAGTTCTGTAAGCAAACACTGCAGAGTCAGAAGGAAGGGGTGTGTCAGGGTGTTTATGAGACCTTTTGAGTTGGAAAGGAATGACTCTCTGTGAGGGCTTGGTTAGGCCTGGATAAGAACCATTTATAGTTGGCCCCCATGATGCCTTCTTGGAGGTGAAGCTTTTAAAGCCATTGTTGGGTGATAAACTTTCATGAGTGCTAGTTAGGGTTCCTGAAATTCAGGTTGTTTGCAACTTTCATTTTCCTAGGCCAGATTTTCCTAGAGTAAGAAAGTTGATGAAGACAGTGGAATAGAGAAGCTGCATGAGTAATGTGTACAGTAAGGCCATATGCCTTATGGGAATGCACTCTATGGGAACACTGGTCTTGATGATGGGAAAGGTTCAGGGACAAGTGGCCTTTCTGGAAGGGTGTGAGAGCCTGAGGTGTCTGTGTCTTTCATAGACATGGCTCTAGGGGAGGTTCAGGATCTGGTCAGGACTCGATAGACACCTGGGAAGTTGGCCTGTGCCCCTAAAGCCACAAAGTGGGTGTGCAACCAAGATCCACTAGGTATGCTGAGAAAGGATGAAGGTGAACACGGGAGCCTCGGGAGCATTGCAGGGCTGGGTAGAAGAGGAAGGGCCAGAAAGAAGCCTCCTAGGGGAGGGCGTTTCCTGCAACATCCCAGGGAGGACTGGAGAAGCCAAAGCGGTTGGCTTGTGAAGGGCCATTTCAGCATCTCTAGGGGACAGCTGGCTGGCAGGAGCTCACCTTCCTTGAAGTGAATTGGTAAGGCCAGGCTAGTCAACAGGTTGTGAATGGTGAGGGACATGGCATAGGTGCTCAGTGAAGTGTCTGGACTTGGGGCTGGGAAGGTGGCTCAGTGGTAGAGTGCTTGCATTGCAAGCCAGAGGCCCTGGGTTCGATTCCTCAGCACCACATAAGCAAAAAGCAAAAAGCCAGAAGTGGCGCTGTGGCTCAGTGGTAGAGCACTAGCCTTGAGCTGAAGAGCTGAGGGACAGCACCCAGGCCCAGAGTTCAGGCCTCACGACCGGACCCCCCAAAAAAAAAAGAAGTGTCTAGACTTCAGTGTGAGAGCCATCCTAGAGAGGAGGGTGGAGTCCCTTGTCCTCAGAGACAGAAAAGCAGGAGAGGAAGGTTGGCATTGACAAAAGTGGGAACAGTTGCTCCCTGTTTTCTGGTGAGCGCCTCAGTTGCAAGCCTCTTGTAGGACAGAAGGGATTGTGGGGTTTGGTGCACAAGCTTCTTGGTCTCAGTCAATATAGACGGCACTAGAGACTTCCTACAGTGTGGACTGCTCTCTAGACAAATGTAGACAGCACTAGAGACTTCCTATAGTGTGGACTGCTATCTAGACAAATTAGGTACCGGATGGGGAAAGTGATACAGATTTTTTTGTTTAGTATATTTAAAAAATGGCCATCAGTTCCCTTCTGACTGAGACAAGCCCTTATAGGTGTATGTTGCCTGCATTACATAGTGAATTTTAATTGCCAGTGTTTTTTTTCTTTGGTGTCCTGTGAAGTTTTGTGTTTCTTAAAAAAAGTTTTGCATTTTCCTGACTGTAATAAAAAAAGAGAACCGATGTTCAATTTATAAATTGCTATGGCAGTAGTAAAATAGATAAAAGAATATTGGCGATAGTTATTGCTACTACATGGGTATTAATGCATGAATGAAGCTGTTGGAAACTGTAAGGTTTTAATTCTGCTACTAAGAATGCTTTATTTCGAATTAGTGTGTCTAAAAATACCTCTTGAAAGATAACATATACATATAAATTAGAGCGCTTACTAACATTTGCTTAGAAATAAGCTGTTGTGCTCTTGGTCAGGGTCCATCACTGTTCCAGCAAATCAGAATAGCCATAGGGTTTTGAATCCGTGGGGCCCTCACTCACAGGCCTTTGCCCCTCACTCGGCTACAGCACCACCAGCTGTTCGAAGCCTACAAGACTTGGCCCGCATTGCCATCCGAAGCACAATCAAGAAGGTCATCTGCCAGGAAGCAGTGAACAAAGGTGGAAATGGGCTGAAGAGCACACCCAGGCTTAAGCGAAGGAGGGTCCGCTGTCGACGGATGGAGACCATCGTCTTTTTGGACAAGGAGGTCTTTGCTAGTCGTATTTCCAATCCCTCTGATGACACCAGCTGTGAGGACTTGGAAGAAGAGCAGCAGGAGGCAGCAGAGAGGACCCCCCGGGAAGTCAAACCTGAGCCTCCGGTCAACTCCCTGCGACAGAGGGTCCTAGGCCTCCCGCTGCCAGACCCCCTGAAGTATTACTTGCTTTATTACAGAGAAAAGTAAGTTTTGTTTAAAAAGGGAAGTGAGGGAGAGGCAAAGCCAGTCTAGTCTGCCACTCCCTGCTGCTAGGTGTTTTGAAACAGATGCCTCTGAGGGCCACTGGCTTCATCCACGTGTGGTTTCCCATTTCTGGCTCCTGATTGTCCTTTAAAACTGATCCAGTGGTGTGACAGATTATGTAAGCAATCTGACAAGACACATACTGCAGAGAAGAATGTTTTACTTCAGTAGGCAATAGCTTGTCCCTCTCTGATGAAACTCTCTTGAAAGCTAGAGCCTTCTTGTCAAAACTGTCCCTGATGCCAGGAACAGCCTACATATCTCAAACGCACCTGAGTCTGACCGCACTGTGTGCCGCAAAGCACACATGCGCAAATGTGTGACATACTCCCCTCCAGGTTTGAATTTTATGATATCAACCTCTTAATTATTGGCTCTGAGTTCCACTGAACTTTTTTTTTTTAAATATTCTAGAGAGTGAAATAAATGCTGTTGAAAAACTCTCCCTTATTTTAATTCAAATAATTATATGAAAATTGCCAATTGTAATTTTTAAAAGAAAAAAATGGGATTAAAGGAGGAGTAAAAGTATCAAACTGCAGGAAGTCTTGCTGGAATTCCACAACTTCCAAGCAGTCCCTGGCCCCCCCCCCCCAGCTCTCCTTACCTTTAAAAGAACCACTGTCAAATAACCTCCTGAAAAGGAGACAAGTTTTTTATAAAAATTGTGTAAAAAGCTCAATTACTCTTCCCCTATCCATAGGGATGATTAATGCCCAGCTTTAAAGACCATAACAGATGATTTCTAAGACGTTGACCATGTGTTCTCTAAAAGACTGCAGGAAATACAGAATGTGACAGACATCCTGTGCTTTGACTTCAGTTTGCTATCTTTCTGTGATTGCATTAGAGTACTGATTCATAGATTTTATCTTTTATAATTCTGGAGAAAAAGATTTGTTAGTTTTGTAAATTTTCTTAAGAATAATATATGTATTTTAGTAGCTCCATTATATTAGACGTTGTAACTCAGTGGCTTGTGAAAAAAATCCATTTTCTCCATGCCTTTGTGTCAATAGCTTTTCATGAATTTGTGGGTCTAGGAAAAAAAACAATCTAGTAGTCAGCAGATTTTAAGTTATGTTGCTGATGTGAAACATTGTCTCTTTTTAAATATTTCTCTTTCTTAGCCCAAAGAAAAGAGTAGTGCAACTTGTAAGTAATTCCCTGATATAGGATTAAGTTATGAGATTTTATGATTCACCTTAACCTCCAGGGATTCAATATCGCTTTGGTTTGGCCAGCTTAAATGGTTATTTTGTCTCTTTTTTGCTTTTTTAGCTAGCAGAATCGTTTTATCACACAAGGCAGTCTGTATGCACACACACACACACACACACACACACACACACACACGTGTGTGTGTGTGTGTGTGTGTGTGTGTATATATTTATCCCTAGATGGGTGATATAACGGGAAGCTAGCTCATACTTTCTTTTACCTGCTTCTTAAAGTCAGGCTTCTGTCTCTCAGAGAAAAATGCATGAGTTAAGTTTATTTGCTAATATTTTTGTAATTTTCAGATTCTTGTTGAAATTATTCCAATTGCTATGTTATATTGAATTTTTTGGATGTAATATTAAATGAATGATATATGTGAAATTTGTTATAGTATGTGGGTTAACTAAATTTTTTCCTATAATTGAATATGGATTGCATTTTTAAAATGCATTTGCCTTTATGGTAGATTAAAAATAACATAAGTATTATGGATTATAATAAATAAGACAAGTCTTCCCTTTATGTTAAACTTTCTTAACATTTTATAGGGTGATTTTTAAACCAGAGTTCGGTTAATATAGTTGTAATATATGTAAGAAATAGGTTGGTATTTATTTTATAAAAAGAAAGGAAAATATGTTTTCCTGTGAGCAAGCACTTTGCAACCATAATTCAGTGTAATACACTACTTTCTGTTTTCAAATAGATCAGTCATAATGTAGTCTATATTGTTGGCAAGATTTTTATTGTAAACAGCTGTTTATGTGTTGAGCAGTTAATATTTTTCCATGTGACTCTTGTCTGAAAGTAGTAAAGGCATAGATCTGTGCAAAATAAATTTCAAATTTATAAATATTAAGTATGAAATGTAAGAATCAAATGTTCATAAAAGTACTTTTGCAAGTCTAGAACTTACAAAGGAAAATTGGTAGAAATTTGAAACAGTGATTTTAATGAGCTGATACAGGTGGATAAAAAAATGGGTAAAATTAAGGCATTTTATTTTTAGCACTGCTTCTGTGTTTTGTATGAGATTTAAGTTCTTGAGTATATTCTTTAAAAATTATTAAGGAAATATACCTTGGCCTTCCTTATTAACACACGTGTTCTTTTACTAGTTATTTGTGTTGCTTAATTCTTTAACATTCAAAGTAGAAAGTTCAGTCATTGTTTCTAATTAATAAATGTGAAATTGGATAGGCAAATTAAAAAGTACCTTGAAGAGTAACTTTGTTTGATATTTTAATACAATTTCCCCATATTTTGAGAATGCTAAAAGAAAGGAACCCACCTCAAGATGCAGAAAATACTTTATTATTGGCTTCAGTTAGCATAGTTCTTATATAAATATTTCAGTCTATGCTGTAAGGAAGATCAAATCAGATTTCAGAAACTAGTTAACCTAGAAAAACGAAATGGTAGGGAGCATCAAAAATGAGTAGCTCCAGAAAAGGGGTAAAAAGATGTGTGTGTGTGTGTGTGTGTGTGTGTATGTGTGTGTGTGTGTGTGTGTGTGTGAGAGAGAGAGAGAGAGAGAAGAACCAAAGAGAGTCCTAAGTCCTGGAGCCCTGTGGCTGGCTTCTCTTGTCCTGAAGCAAACCCTCTTGGAACATCTAGTCTTTATGGCTATTGTGCACCTATATGCCATAACTCAGAGTTATGTCCTATTCTTAAAAACAGCTTACTATCAGGTGTAGAATGCAACATGATTGTAACTGTGGGGGGATGAGGAGAAGGAGGGAAATGTAAAGAATTATGGAGGGTGAATAATAGCAAAATAAAATGTGTCTGTGTGTGAAGATGGTGTAAGAAAATTCGCTGAAAGCTATTGAGCAGTGGGGGTTGGGGGAGGTGCAGAAAAGAGGCGGCGGTAGAGGAGGTTCGTGCAATAGGCCCATGAAAGAGGGCTGCCCTCTCCAGCCACCTCCTCCTCAACCCCCCCCCCCCATGCTATTCTCAATACTACGGCCAGTGATACCCTTCTACAATAATCTCCAGAGCATCTTCAATGGCTTCCACTGAAATCTCTGAACGGAGTCGGTGTCCTCTGAAGGTACTCTTCCCAACCTAACACCCTCCAAGGAGTTGCCCCCACTCCCCGTCAGCCACAGGGGAGCTCTGCTTGTGATGTCCATCCACAGCCTACGCAGCAGCTGCTCCTTGCCCCTTGCGCGGTGCTCCCTGGCTGCTTCACGCCTCTGCTCCGACATCGTGCTCTCAAGGAGCCCCCCATCTCACTGTGGTGGCCTCCTGCCCCCACCTGCTTCTTCTCATGTGGCCCTGCTCTCCATGGGGTCACCACTCTCCAAAAGTCTGTGCTCAAGTTTAATTTGCACTGAGTAATGGTTTCTCCTCATCTGCTAAGATACCAGTTCCATGAGATCAGGGGTTGAAAATAGAAGGGGCACATCCATGCCAAAGTACAGAGTTTGAGAAAACAGCTGAGCAGATGGCTTAGAGGCCATTGGGTCAGGGTGTCTGCAGACTGACCTCCCCTGGACCCTGGACCTCCACTGTGTGTGCATGGCCACGCCCAGGAGCAAAGGCTCAACAGCTGTGGAAAGTGTGCAGTTTAACATCTAATCAGCATGCTTTGAGTGGTCATTTTACTTTCTGGTGTGTATGTGTGCCTGTCCTGGGGCTTGAACCTGGGTACTGTGCCTGGGCTTTTTGTTCAAGAATAACACTCTATCACTTGAGTCACAGCTCTACTTCTTGCTTTTGGGTGGTTAATTAGAGATGAGAGTGTCAAGGACTTTTCTGCCCAGGCTGCTTCAAACTGTGATCCTCAGATATCAGCCTCCCAAGTAGCTAGCCTTATAAGTGTTTGCCACCGGCACCCAGTTATTTCTATAGTTTTTATGAAGAGTCATTGTGAGACTGGCCCTGAATTTCCTATCCTTCTGCCTTAACTTCCCATGTACTAGGATTATAGGTATGCACCATCATGCCCAGCCATTGTTTTAAAAGGAGGCACGCTGGGTGCTGGTGGCTCACACCTGTCTTCCTAGCTACTCAGGAGGCTGAGATCTGAGGATCACAGTTCAAAGCCAGTCTGGGCAGGAAAGTCTGTGAGACTCTTATCTCCAATAAACCACCAGAAAACCAGAAGTGGCACAGTGGCTCAAGTGGTAGAGGACTCACCTTGAGCTGAAGAGCTGAGGGACAGCGCCCAGGCCCAGAGCTCAAGCCCCGTGACCGACAAAAAGAAAAAAAAAAGGCACAACTGTGCTTTTCACTTAAAGAGAAGGTTACAGCCTTACATTCAGACCCCCACTCAGGAGCCTGCCCTCAGGGTGAGGGCCACGTTGTAGCTCACATCCTGAAACCTGGCTGTGGGGAGCTCAAAGTAGTGTATGAGGCCATCTGAGATCTCCAGCCGCATTAGAATGCGTAGGCATAAAGAGTGGACCAGGGTGCTGATGGAGGTGGCCATGTCCATCTGCCTCGAAGCTGGGAGTGTGGGGCAGCGAGGCCCACTGCTGCTAAGCCATGGAGAGGAAGAGGAACCACTGGCCCATGAATGCCATGCTGGCCAAGTCCCTGACCAGATCTTGAGGGATGCTGAGCTCCTAGAGCTGGTTCCTGAAGGTGTCTGGCTTTGCCCTGGCAGGGCAGGCTGGAGCAGGGCTTGTGCACCCAGGAGGAGGGTGAGGAGATGCTCTATGGGCACATGGGTGCTGGGACCACACTGCCTCTCTGCAGGCTGTGGACCACAAACTTCAGCAACTGTTTGAACATGCTCCTGTTCAGATCCCCAGGATCTGGGCCCCTGCTGCTACTTCTGGAGGGAGCTAGGATTACAGGAAATTGACCTGGCCATTGTGACTGTCCACAGGATGACAGTCCAGCCAGGGAGCTGCAGCACTGCGCAGATATCCTGTTTCCTCCCCCTTGGTTAGCTCAGTGGGGAGGTTTCAGACATAACTGCACTGGTAGAGGGAGTGAGGTGGCCATTGACTCATCAGGGAACCTGCAAGTCCTCTTTAGTAACAGATGAAGAAGCTTTAGATAATTACCTAGAGTTCTAGAAGCTTGGTAGGTCTTACTGAAATCAACTGTCTTTGCTAAGATCATGTCCACTGCCAGTGGCTCTGACATTGCCTTTCAGGGAAAATGAAGCAGACGGATGTGTTTCCGTTTTTCTTTTGTTGTGTTCATGCTAGGCTTGAACTCAGGGCCTGGATGCTGTCCCTGGGCTTTTTGTTCAAGAAACAGCACTCTACCACTTAAGCCACAACTCCACTTTCAGCTTTTTGGTGTTTGATTGGGAATAAGAGTCTCATGGACTTCCGTGCCCTGGCTTTGAACTGTGATCCTCATATCTCAGCCTCTTGAGTGGCTAGGATTACAGGCGTGAGCCCACTGCTGCCCAGCTTCATTTCTGTTTTCTGCTGCTGAGCCCACATCTAGAGTTGTTCCTTATCTTAGGAGTGCAGCCTGGGGCTTGATGCCTAGTAGGTCAGTATGAAAGCCATTCCTTAGGATCCATGTAGTTGACACAATTGCAAACCTAAAAGTGGTTAAGATCGAATACTTAGTTATATCTGTCAAGGGATAAAATGTCAAAAAATGAAGTTGAGAGAACGGCGTGACTTTTGTGGACCCAGCAGCAGGCCTTCTAAGAGATGGGTTGGCTCAGTGGTCAGCCCCTGGGTGGTGGCCGGGCTACGCCTCAGGGCAGCATTACTGAAAGCTGAGTGGTGACACAAGCCAGTTCATGGGATTCTCTTGGCTGGTTGCCCCCTTGGTGGGTAATTAACAGCTTCCTGTTTGCAAAACTAGCATGAGTGATGCCATTCTTGCCTACCTGCTCTTTTGGGGCCTTTTCAGGGCTCATGCTCCTGAAACAAAATGATTTAATGAAAATGGAATGACTTCCTATAAATTTTTTTTTTTTTTTTTTTTTTTTGGATCCAGTCGTGGGGCCTGAACTCTGGGCCTGGGCGCTGTCCCTCAGCTCTTCAGCTCAAGGAAAGCTAGCGCTCTACCACTTGAGCCACAGCGCCACTTCCGGCTTTTTTTTCTGCTTATGTGGTGCTGAGGAATCGAACCCAGGGCCTCATGCATGCAAGGCAAGTGCTCTACCACTGAGCCACCTTCCCAGCCCTCTATAAATCTTAGTTCATGTGTTTCACTGTAGTTGTTAAAAATGAATGTGCAATATACAAACGAAGTTGCAGTTTCGATGGGTGAACTGGATGGTATGTAAGTTACAGTTAAAAAAACTAACTCAGAAGGGAAATAACCAAACTAAGCTGGTAAAAGACTGGAATAGACATTTTTACCTGGTATAAATGGCTCAGGACACAAAAGCTTCGATCATCAAGACTCTGTAGTAAGACAATGAAACTTATCCTGTCAATTATATGGGCTCAGAAAAATAGCTTCTTTACACTCACATCTGTCATCGTGGTTGTTGTGGGTCGTGGGCCTGGGCGCCGGCTTTTCCTGCGTCTGGGGCGCTGCGGCCGCGAACCCGGGGCCTCGCGCTCGCGGCAGGCGCCGCCCCCCGCGCCCCTTCCCAGCCCCTCACGCCTGCCCAGGCTGCCTTGTGACACGGGCATGGCGCCTCTGAAGGAAGATTCGGAAGATTCGGCGCTGACCAGCCCGGATAAACGGGGCTCCGGCAGGTCCGGGTTCTGACCTGGGAGAGAGCGCCCTCCGCCCGGGGCCTGGCGGCAGCGCTGCCCGGGTGGCCTCGGGCGAGGCCTGCCCCGGAGGAGCGAGAACCCAGCGCTGCCCGGGTGGCCTCGGGCGAGGCCTGCCCCGGAGGAGCGAGAACCCAGCGCTGCCCCGGGGGCCTCCAACCGAGGCCTGCCCCGGAGGAGCGAGAACCCAGCGCTGCCCAGGGGGCCTCCAACCGAGGCCTGCCCCGGAGGAGCGAGAACCCAGCGCTGCCCGGGGGGCCTCGGGCGAGGCCTGCCCCGGAGGAGCGAGAACCCAGCGCTGCCCCGGAGGAGCGAGAACCCAGCCTCCGGTGAGAGGCCAAGGCGCGGGGCACGCTCCTGTCCTGCCGCTCGAGAAGGGAGGGGTTGTGGGCGGGACACAACACAAGAGAGGAGGGGCAAGAGCAAGCCAATGAGAAGCTGGGAGGGGTGGGGTGGAGCAAACCCGAGGAAGTGAGTGGTGCAGGGGCGGGGCTTGTGGGAAGCCCGGGGGTCCTGAGGACAGTGCACACACCTAGAGCACCACCTGGTGGGAATCAGTGGTCACTGCATCCCCTGG